GAAGATAGATGTCTTTTTCCTGTGATGGGTTCTTTTTTACTTTCAGCCAAACAGGACTCTGGGAGAGTGCCTGATCTCTAGATCTTCAGGATCCATTTATCCTGAGCTTCCAAAGGTGTTCTGTAAAGTCTCCAGGCTTCCTTTGTCTGTTTTGTGTATAAACTTTTCCTCCTCCTGTGTCTTCCTAGCCAGTGGCTTCAAGTCATCATACTCCGTCCTTCCTCTGACATCAGGTGATAGGGCACATTACTGCAATAATGCATGACCACATCAGCCTCACAGACCCATTCCACTGACACCAGACCTCATCTTCTTCCCTTTTTCTGTGGGCTTGACCCAACTGTTTTGGGCAGAGTGTACTTCACTCAGGCACATGCCTCACTGCAGCCTCTCATTCTATTGGTATCGATAAACAAGTCCCCCCATTCTCTCAAACATCTCGGCACCATTTCCAAGCTTTAGCATCTATAGTTCAGTCCCATTATCCTATTCAGATGGCTTTGGGACACTGTTATGTTGAAATTGCAGAAGCATGGACTGCCTTTTTAAAGACTTACACAGCACAGGTCCTGGGATGTCTCTGCCATTTTGTTGTTCACATCCACCTCCTTTCTCTGGTCATTTATTCCCTCAGACGTTGACCTGTCCTACATTTATACATCTTCATTCTTGCATATGCCAGTCCCAGTTCTTCCTGCATCTACCTGCTGGTCTGTTCTTGCTGCATCTGCCCCTCCTAATCTGTCCTGCAGAGTCTCTGGCCTCTGCAGAGCCATGTAGATGGGAGACTTCCTTAGTCCTTTGCATCCTGACTTACTCAGTTATTCCAGTCTCAGCATCACAGAAGGACTTGCTCGCCCCGGCTTTTCAGGCTTCCTGTGTCAGCCACTCCCTCCTGGCCATTTCTTCCAACTGGAAAGTCCTGGTTTCCCCTTCCCTGAGGCCTTAGCCTCAGCCTCCTTTAGGGCCAGCAGCCTGAAACCACTTGGAACAGTTTCTTCCAGGCAAGTCGAGACTAGCCATCCTTCCCTTAGGGTTGTTCTACTGTAGGAGGTCCCCAAGGGCCCTCCTGTCTAGGTAGTTGAGGCTCCCTCAGCCTGGAAACGCAGCAGTCCCCACGTATCTCCGGAGGGAAACACAGAAGGGGGAAGAAGAGGGGATAAATGGTCACAAAAGGGTGGGGGGCATGGTGGAGGCTTGAAGTGGGAGGATGGTTGTGGGGCCAAGAGGCAGGAGCATTGTTTTACCCTACTGCACCTCACTCCTGTCCCCCCAGGCTGCTGGCCCAGCGGCAGCAACACTCCTTTGGTCTGCATGGGGTGGCGTGCATGGGCACGGAGGCCCACCTCTCCCTCTGTTCCCTGGAGTTCTATCGTGCCAATGACACCGCCAGGTGCCCTGGGGGGGGCCCTGCGGTGGTGAGCTGTGTGCCAGGCCCTCTCTACGCAGCATCCAGTGGCCAGAAGAAGCAACAACAGTCGAAGCCTCAGGGGGAGGTGTGTGAGACAGTGACTATGACCTTTCCCACCCCAGGTGGAGAACCCCTAGCCTGGCAACCCCTGATTAAGCACAGCCCTGACCTTTGAGGACAGAGAGGAGCCTTCCAGGGGGTGGGCCACAGACCTGATACCACCCACTCCCTCCCACCAAAGTCTCACTCATCTCCTAGGTGCCCTCTCCGTGCAGATGTTGCCATTTGCCTCTGTTGGGCACTTCTCTGTTCTGTAGGCCCGTGTCCGTCTAAAGAGCGGCGCCCACCCTGGAGAGGGCCGGGTAGAAGTCCTGAAGGCCAGCACATGGGGCACAGTCTGTGACCGCAAGTGGGACCTGCATGCAGCCAGCGTGGTGTGTCGGGAGCTGGGCTTCGGGAGTGCTCGAGAAGCTCTGAGTGGCGCTCGCATGGGGCAGGGTGAGGCGGCATGGAGGTGGGAGGGAGAGGGAAGGAGGTACATGCTCCTGGGGGGCACACTCCTTCGGAAGGTTAGGTGTCCCCTGGGCAGACAGTATATGCTTAGTTACAACTTCCTGATCTTTGCCATCCGGTCCTAGGCATGGGTGCTATCCACCTGAGTGAAGTTCGCTGCTCTGGACAGGAGCTCTCCCTCTGGAAGTGCCCCCACAAGAACATCACAGCTGAGGATTGTTCGCATAGCCAGGATGCCGGGGTCCGGTGCAACCTACCTTACACTGGGGCGGAGACCAGGGTCAGTCATCCTCTCCACCTTGGTTGAGGTCTCTTTCATCCTATCCAGGCCTGGCCTCCAATCTACAGTCCAATGGCCCCCAGCCCATGGACTGGCCCCTGCCATCCTGCAGCTCCCACCTGACCCATCACTTGCTAGCCCATTATGTGCCTCTGAGTCATGCTTCAGCTACATCTATGTTACAGACTCCCACTACCTCACCTCAAAGCTTCCTCCAGCGCTTCCATTCTGTGTCACTACAGATCCGACTCAGTGGGGGCCGCAGCCAACATGAGGGGCGAGTCGAGGTGCAAATAGGGGGACCTGGGTCCCTTCGCTGGGGCCTCATCTGTGGGGATGACTGGGGGACCCTGGAGGCCATGGTGGCCTGTAGGCAACTGGGTCTGGGCTACGCCAACCACGGCCTGCAGGTGAGTGGGAAGGAGAGGGGAGCCGAGGCTGTTGTCTCAAAGCCTGTGTTTTGGGCAGAGGGCTGAGGAATGAGTCCCTTGGCCCAAGATGCTGGATCCTGGGCCTTACAGAAACATCTGCATATATCCCCAGGAGACCTGGTACTGGGACTCTGGGAATATAACAGAGGTGGTGATGAGTGGAGTGCGCTGCACGGGGACTGAGCTGTCCCTGGATCAGTGTGCCCATCATGGCACCCACACTACCTGCAAGAGGACAGGGACCCGCTTCACTGCTGGAGTCATCTGTTCTGAGAGTGAGTGAAGGAGGGGGTGATGCATGCCAGGGAAGGGAGGGTCTGGGCCACCCCTTTGCTGGGAACGGGGGCTGTAATCTGGAGGGGCACTCGTTCCCCATAAAAGAACCAGTTTCACCAGGCAGGCGTGGTGGCTCACACCTGTAATCCCAGCACTTTAGGAAGCCAAGGCAGATGGATCACGAGGTCAGGAGTTCAAGACCAGCCTGGCCAACATGGTGAATCCCTGTCTCTACTAAAACTACAAAAATTAGCCAGGTGCGGTGGCAGGCGCCTGTAATCCCAGCTACTTGGGAGGCTGAGGCAGCAGAATCACTTGAACCCGGGCGGCAGAGGTTGCAGTGAGCCAAGATCACGCCACTGCACTCCATCCTGGGCGACAGAGTGAGACTCTTTCTCAAAAAAAAAAAAAACCACAACCAAAAAAACAGTCTCACACACTAGGGAGGGATGGAAGCACCCCTCTCTGTGAAGTCAGCAGTGACTTCTAACACCCTCTTCCTTTATCGGTGCAGCTGCATCGGATCTGCTGCTGCACTCAGCATTGGTGCAGGAAACCGCCTATATCGAAGACCGGCCCCTGCATATGTTGTACTGTGCTGCGGAAGAGAACTGCCTGGCCAGCTCAGCCCGCTCAGCCAACTGGCCCTATGGTCACCGGCGTCTACTCCGATTCTCCTCCCAGATCCACAACCTGGGACGAGCTGACTTCAGGCCCAAGGCTGGGCGCCACTCCTGGGTGTGGCACGAGTGCCATGGGTGAGAGGGTAGGGAGTCAAGTAGAAAGGCAAGGCCACGGGGATGGGGCAAACCTTCTGGGGGAAGAGAAGGAAACAGAAGTTCCCTTCTCCCCACAGGCATTACCACAGCATGGACATCTTCACTCACTATGATATCCTCACCCCAAATGGCACCAAGGTAGCTGAGGGCCACAAAGCTAGTTTTTGTCTCGAAGACACTGAGTGTCAGGAGGGTGAGTTGGGGCCTGAAGTGGACCACATGGTATCCATCGCACAGCCTTTCCTTACACTGACATATGCCAATCCCTCCAGATGTCTCCAAGAGATATGAGTGTGCCAACTTTGGAGAGCAAGGCATCACCGTGGGTTGCTGGGATCTCTACCGGCATGACATTGACTGTCAGTGGATTGATATCACAGATGTGAAGCCAGGAAACTACATTCTCCAGGTACCTGGAGTCTGGGGCTTCCAGATGGGTGACTGGGGGGAGCGTTAAAGACACCTTTGAATTTGAGGATTGTTGCTGGGTTAAGTGGCCTTTTTCTCACTCACAGATTGTCATCAACCCAAATTTTGAAGTAGCAGAGAGTGACTTTACCAACAATGCAATGAAATGTAACTGCAAATATGATGGACATCGAATCTGGGTGCACAACTGCCACATTGGTATTTGATGGGAAGAGCAACCCAGGAAGATTAGGGGATGGGAGGGAAAGACGTTCATTCTCTTTTCTGTAACTTGTTTCTGCATCTTCCCACCCTCCTCTGGAGCTCTCAGTCCCTCCACTTGTACCCATCTTTCTCCACAGTGGGTCTGTCTTCCTCCCTCTGTGCAGGGCGCCTCCCAAATTGCCTGTCCACTCTGCAGGTGATGCCTTCAGTGAAGAGGCCAACAGGAGGTTTGAACGCTACCCTGGCCAGACCAGCAACCAGATTATCTAAGTGCCATCGCCCTCTGCAAACCACCACTGGCCCCTAATGGCAGGGGTCTGAGGCTGCCATTACCTCAGGAGCTTACCAAGAAACCCATGTCAGCAACCGCACTCATCAGACCATGTACTATGGATGTGGAACTGTCAAGCAGAAGTTCTCACCCTCCTTCAGAGGCCAGCTGTCAGTACCTGTAGCCAAGCATGGGAATCTTTTCTCCCAGGCCCAGCACCGAGCAGAACAGAGCAGAGCCCACCACACCACAAAGAGCAGCACCTGACTAACTGCCCACAACAAAAGATGGCAGCAGCTCATTTTCTTTAATAGGAGGTCAGGATGGTCAGCTCCAGTATCTCCCCTAACCTTAGGGGGATACAGCTTTACCTCTAGCCTTTTGGTGGGGGAAAAGATCCAGCCCTCCCACCTCATTTTTGACTATAATATGTTGCTAGGTATAATTTTATTTTATATAAAAAGTGTTTCTGTGATTCTTTAGAGCCCTGGAATCAGTGCTGGTGGTTGGAGGGACCTGCCCCCACTGGTTCATTTAACCCTCTGTCCCGGCGCCCTCAGAGCCTCAGCCAGGAAGGCAAGGAGGAAATCAGAGCAGGAGCCTCATACTCTTGGTGATCTATTCATTCTGTGACCTCAGGGGTCACATATAAGGTCAGTGTTTCTCGTCCCCGCCGGATCTGCACTGCCAGCTGGGATTGGGTTCGAACAGCTTCATAAACATCTTCAGCATTTTGTACCATCTGCCCCCCAATGGCCAAAATCACATCACCAGGCCGCAGACCAGCCCTACAGAGAAAAATGGACAGAGAGAAAAGAAGGAGTACAAAGCCTAGTTCAAGGACACATGCACACCTCACCCATCCCCATATCACACTGCAGCCTCTCCCTCACCGGTGTGCAGGGGAGCCCAGGATGACTTTATGGATGAGTACACCATGCTGAACATCAGGAAAGCTTGGTTCTCGAAGCTGTAGTTCAGCAAGGATGCTGAAAGTACACAGATCACCCTATTAGCCAAACCCAGGCATTCTCCCCATCCTGAGTTCCACCTCAAGTCTCTCATCAACACATTGGCAAATAGATGGACAGGACATGCGCTAGGTACTACAAAATACAACGGCAACTCACTTTCTGTCTTCTAGCAATAAAGTGCAACATGTACATAAAAGATGTACACCACATGAGGGCACCAAATGACAAACAGTATGAAATCAATAGCACTAATGTCATTCTAGAGTACTAAAAGAAGCTTTAAGGGGAAAAAACTTAAGCTGAGCCTAAAAGGATGGGTCCAATATTAACCATATAAAACAAGAACAGCATAAATAAAAAACATGGGAGTAGGAAATCAGGTTGGCTGAGTATTCATATAGGAAGGTATTACAGCCAGGTCTAGAAAGTTGATTTACAGACAGATGGAAAATGCCCTTAAATGCCAAGTTAATGGATTGAAGGCTTGAAATCAAAGCAGTAACAGGATGAAATCAGTCTGACAGGTGTACAAAGTGGAGTGGAATAAGAAAGTCAAGATGATGAAGGGAGACAGCTCTTGTGATTATTTCAAGTGTGACACAGTTCATTTTAGATAAAGACAGAAATGAGAACAAAGCTCAATAGAGGTGCCCACCTCTGATTACACTGGTCACATTACATGTCACTATCCCTAAAGCTCATACCTGGGACTCAGGGTCAGCATCATCACCCCAATGTAGCGCCGCTGGGACCCACTGATTCCAGAGGAGGAATCTGTGACAGAGGGACAAATAAGCCCCACCCAGCTACATCCTTCCTTCCCTGCCCTCTTCTCCCAATAGACCACCCTCCAGGAAGTCCCAATGAATGCCCCTCCCGTATTTCCCCATAAGCCAGGCTCACTCTTCTTTTCCCCACGATGCAGAAACTCTCGAAGGCGATCAGAAGGGATGGCAAAGGAGATTCCAGCTGTGACCTTCATGGTGTTCACTCCAATCACCTCTCCATCCTGCAGGGATACATCCCCCAGTTCCCTAGCCCAAACAAATAGTAGGGGATGGGGGCACCCGAACAAAAGTAGCAGCAAGTGTTGGGGAGATCCAGTTGGATGTTGAGAGATAGCCAACAAAGAACTGCTCAGAAACTTGACCAAACATCCTTGAATTAGGGAAAACCTACCCTTCCCACACAGACCTGGGGCTGGGATTCTTGGAAGGAAGGATGTCTCACTCACCAGGTTAACCAGGGGACCTCCAGAGTTCCCAAACTGCAGGACAAGGAGAAAACATGAAAGAGATCTGAGGATTCTAAGTCTGGGGGCATACCGGGATGTAGGTACTTTCTCCAAATTCTCTTCTTTCTCAGCCCATGAATGAGTGGCCACATTTTTGCAGCCTAAGCTCTGTATATAGGCTCATCCACCATATATCAGTTGGTGCTTGTACCACACAGCCTCTCCCCACTCCCCCATCATGTGTCATTTCTCTCCTATCAGGACGCACATCAATAGCTGCATCCGTCTGAATGTATTCCACATTGGTTTGGGGGAGTCCCAGGTCTCTGGCTGGACGCTGAGCAGAGCTAACAATGCCGGATGTGATCGTGTTCTGCAGTGCAAAGGGACTTCCCATGGCAACAACAAACTCCCCTTGCCGGACATCAGCTGAGCGTCCCAGAGGCAGCGTGGGGAGAGGCTCCTAAGGGAGAATGGGTATAAGAGACCTGTCATCTGGAGATGCGAGCAAACAAGCAGCTCCAACCAGACCTGGCCTACCCCAGCCCCCACCTTAGTCTGAATCCTCAGCGTTGCGATGTCTGCCACGGGATCCACAGCTGTGACCACGGCCTCATACGTGTCGCCGCTAAGCAGTCTCACACGGACTCTGCGCCGATCAGCCACCACATGGGCGTTGGTGACAATGAGCCCATCGGCAGCCACCACGAATCCTGAGCCGTTCGAGATAGGGACTTCACGGCCCAAGAAAGGGTGCCTGGAATGGAGGGAAAGCACGGATAAGAGGAGGCCCTGACCCCTCCTACCCGCCCGCCCTCCGGCCCGTGGCTTCAGTGCCTCCCGGTCTACCCCCATTACCGGTCCAGGATCTCGATATAGACCACGGCAGGTGCTGTCTTCTCCACCACATCTGCGATGAAGTTGTACTGACTCCGGGGAGAAGCGGGCGGCGGGCCAGGGACGGCGGCGAGGACGGCCGGAGGACCCCGACCCCCGCCCCACAACAACAACAGCACTGCCCCCCCAGCGCCCAGTGCCACAGCCAGCCACGCGCGCGAACGGGTTCCAGAGTTCTCTGAGGCCTCCCGGGTCCTGGTATCTGGGGTCACCGCAGTCAGTTGTGCCCGGGGACCCGGGGTCCCAGACGTCAGACATGCTCGGGGTTCAGGGACCCCAACACACAACCGGGCCCAGAGACTGGGGGTCCCATAAGTCACTCGGGCCCGGGGGTCAGAAGTTCCTGACGTCAGCAGGGCCCGGAGGTCAGGGGTCAACCGGGGTCTCCTCCCCCAGCGAATGCCCCCCAAAGCCCGCCATGCCCGAAGGCTCCAGCCTGCACCCCGCCCCGCCCTCGGCGCAGCCATCAGCTCCGCCTCGGCTGCCTCCTCGCCCGCCCTACTCAGAGGCGGCACCCAGGACGCGAGCAGGCGGACAGTAGGACGCGGGGCACGCCGGTACCTGAAGTCCTCCAGAAGTGCACGTCGGGACCAGGATTCCGGGAGGCCGACTCCTCCCCGTCCCGCGAATGCCGGGAATTGTGGTCTCCGTGGGACGCGAGTTGTGAGACGGCCCAAGGGGCCGCAGGGTATGCTGGGACCGCTAGCCCTTCCGGCGCGCCTCAAGACTTCGGGTCCTGTCACCCCGGGCGGATGCCCAAAGACTCCGCCTTCCCAGGAGCCCCTGCGGCCGGGCGCGAAGATGGCGGCGGCGACGGCTGGGCGCTCCTGAAGCAGCAGTTATGGAGCTTCCCTCAGGGCCGGGGCCGGAGCGGCTCTTTGACTCGCACCGGTAAGAGACCCGGCGGGAAGAGACCTACCCCTGCGTCCTCTCGGCCTTCGGCGCCCGACCACTTCGCCTCTCGCCCCCAGGCTCCCGGGTGACTGCTTCCTGCTGCTCGCGCTGCTGCTCTACGCGCCGGTCGGGTTCTGCCTCCTCGTCCTGCGCCTCTTTCTCGGGATTCACGTCTTCCTGGTCAGCTGCGCGCTGCCAGACAGCGTCCTTCGCAGGTTCTGACGCGGGCGTTTGGGGAGTGTCAAAGCTGGGCCTGGCCCGAGGCCACACAGTCACCACCGCCTGTGTCCCCAGGTTCGTAGTGCGGACCATGTGTGCGGTGCTGGGGCTCGTGGCCCGGCAGGAGGACTCCGGACTCCGGGATCACAGTGTCAGGGTCCTCATTTCCAACCACGTGACACCTTTCGACCACAACATAGTCAATTTGCTCACCACCTGTAGCACCGTGAGTGAGAGCGAGGCCGAGAGCGCCACGGGGCGGTTCCCTGGGGCCCAGCTGAAGGCCCCCCTGTCCCACTCGCGTTCCCCATGGAGGATACTGAGCCTTATCCCTAACCCCGATCCTCTACCCCACATGTCATTTTTTTTCATTTTCCTCAATTTTTTTCTTCTTGCTTTCTCTTCTCCTGGTTCCCAGCCTCTACTTAATAGTCCCCCCAGCTTTGTGTGCTGGTCTCGGGGCTTCATGGAGATGGATGGGCGGGGGGAGTTGGTGGAGTCACTCAAGAGATTCTGTGCTTCCACGAGGCTTCCCCCCACTCCTCTGCTGCTATTCCCTGAGGAAGAGGCCACCAATGGCCGGGAGGGGCTCCTGCGCTTCAGGTGGGTTTAGCACAGGTATCGGGTGCCAACTGGGTAGGTGGTCAAGCTTGTGGGCCCTTGAGTTTTTACAACCTTCTTCGGCCCTTAGCCCCCAACATCTCTAGTTCATTTCCTTTCTGTCCACTTTTAGTTCTTTCTCCTGAATGCCTTCTTTCTTCAATTGTGTGCTTGTAGAGTTTGACAGTTGCCTGTTTTAAGGCACCTATGATCTGCTGACTAGCCTGGCTGGATTCCCATCCTACTTTCTCCTTCCTCTTCTAGTTCCTGGCCATTTTCTATCCAAGATGTGGTACAGCCTCTTACCCTGCAAGTTCAGAGACCCCTGGTCTCTGTGGTGAGTGTGTGTTGAACAAGGAATCTCTGGGGCTTGGAAGGGAAGTTTCCCATCCCTGGCCCTGGCTTAGGCCTCACTTCATGCCCTCCCCTCAGACGGTGTCAGACGCCTCCTGGGTCTCAGAACTGCTGTGGTCACTTTTCGTCCCTTTCACGGTGTATCAAGTAAGGTATTATTAACTGCCCTCACATTTTGGTCGCTGGGGAGAGGCTCACCTCAAGGTCAAGGAATTAGTGGCCTCTGCCCTGTCCATTTGTAGATCTTTATATCAGAGTTCTACCACAGAAGCAACACAAAGTATTTACAGTATTTACTATTTTCCCACCCTCACCATGCAAAGAGTTACCAAAGCGGGGAATGGTGACAGCCTCTACCCTGGGTGCCCACAACATAGCCCTGGATTTTTTTTTTGCAGGTGGCTTCGTCCTGTTCATCGCCAACTAGGGGAAGCGAATGAGGAGTTTGCGCTCCGTGTACAACAGGTGGTCGGGTGCACAGGCAGGGTGGAGGTGGGGTCCCTACTTAGGAGGAGAGGGAGGAAAGCTTGAGATCTTGACACTTCCAGTCTTCCAATTCTCCCTAGCTGGTGGCCAAGGAATTGGGCCAGACAGGGACACGGCTCACTCCAGCTGACAAAGCAGAACACATGAAGCGACAAAGACACCCCAGATTGCGCCCCCAGTCAGGTATGTGGTCTCTATACATTACAGCTTTGGAGTTTTTTGTTTTTCACCCTACTGTGATTCCTCCCCTTTTCCTGTGCTAGTTAGCCTCTCCTAGTTCTCTACTTACCAGAATTTCTTTTTTTTTCTTTTTCCACAGCCCAGTCTTCTTTCCCTCCCTCCCCTGGTACTTCTCCTGATGTGCAACTGGCAACTCTGGCTCAGAGAGTTAAGGAAGTTTTGCCCCATGTTCCATTGGGTGTCATCCAGAGAGACCTGGGTATGGGAAAGGGTGGCCCCACACCGGGAGATTGGGCACAGGGAGGAAAAGTGGGTTGTGAAGGAAGAAAGTGAGCAAGGAGTGGACTCCCTTCTCTTTTCTCCTCAGCCAAGACTGGCTGTGTAGACTTGACTATCACTAATCTGCTTGAGGGAGCCGTAGCTTTCATGCCTGAAGACATCACCAAGGGAACTCAGTCCCTACCCACAGCCTCTGCCCCCAAGGTGAGACCCAGGAAATGGTCAGATCCAAGTCTTGCGGTGAGTTGGGGGCAGGCTACATACTCCCTTATCCCTGACCTTTCTTTTTTGATCCTGAGACCCTAGCATAGTGCCTCTCTTGCAAAGTAGGCATTCGATGCGTGTTTAATGATGATGACTCCGCAAGCCCTCTGACATTGTGATCACCTCAGTTCCCCAGCTCTGGCCCGGTGACCCCTCAGCCAACAGCCCTAACATTTGCCAAGTCTTCCTGGGCCCGGCAGGAGAGCCTGCAGGAGCGCAAGCAAGCACTATATGAATACGCAAGAAGGTGAGGGGGTTAGAGGGCAATGAATAAGTTGGGGCAAATTGGAGAATGGAATTATGGAGCTACTATGGCAAAGCCTGAATAATGTCTCTCCCTATGTCCCACAGGAGATTCACAGAGAGACGAGCCCAGGAGGCTGACTGAGCTCAAAGGAACAGGATGGCACCCAGAGCCGCAGGACGGAGACTGGGGGCAGCCCTCACCCAACTCACAACAGGCTGGATGGGTGGGTGGTAAAAGGGAAGGATGAGGCTCCCCCAATATCACATTAAATTCATGGTTTTCATTCAAGGTGTATGTTGTCTCTCTGGGTCTCAAAAGCCCTGTGAGTGGGTTCCTTATTCCTTGGCTTGGGGGGATGGGGGTGAGAGTCTTCTTGTACATTTGAAGGGGGTAGTCAGACTGCAACTGTCTAAAATCAACTCCTCATGCCAAGCGATGAGTGATAAATTAAGGAAGTGTAACTGAACTGAAGACCCAGCTTGGGTGATCAGCCCAGGTTTTGGACGAAGCTGCTGCAAAACTACAAGTCCCAGCATGCCTTTCACAAGCACACTACACATCATCTGTAGAATTCACACATGCTCAGTGTGGTGGCTGGAGCCTGTTTTCCATAGGTTCCTGACTAGGTTAAATAAGGTGGAGCAAATAGCCCCACCCCAAAAGCAGGCTTCAGGATTTGAAGTTTGAGCCTAGCCCTGAGGTAGAGCCGGAATTTACCTTTGTACTTACACGGTCAGGGTTGGTGGTGACTACATGGGTCTGGAGCTGGCTGCCGTCCTGACGCGTCCTAGAGCTGCAAGCAGGTTTGAATCCAGGATCACTTGGACTGCTGTTCCTTTCCCCACCCCCTATATTCTTTATCCTTTTCCCTTCAGGACTTTCCCACAGGTTACTAGGTCTCACATAATTTCTACTGCCCTTGAGGACCCCTGCCTAAGTAAGATTTCTACTACCTGCCGACAGTACTAGTATCAGGCAGGTTTCTACTACCTGACTATAGGGACTGTCGACTAACTCTCAGTAGCCCCTTATGAAAATACCTAGCACTGTTTCCTGGCAGGAAATGCTGGGAAGGGTGGGCCCCAGAGCATGATCAACTAAAGGTAGAGGTTAAGGATCAGGGCTGAGGTGGGAAGATGGTGTCAGTCACCAAATATGACCTTACTGACTGCTCTGCCTTCTGCAGGTCCTGCCAGAGAGCCACCATGGCCTCTCAGCCTCTCAGGCTGGCAGAAGAGTATGGCCCAAGTCCCGGGGAATCTGAACTGGCTGTGAACCCCTTTGATGGGCTTCCCTACTCTTCCCGCTACTATGAGCTGCTGGAGCAGCGCCACACCTTGCCCATCTGGGCTGCTCGCTTTACCTTCTTGGAGCAGTTGGAGAGTAACCCCACTGGAGTGGTGCTGGTGTCTGGGGAGCCTGGTTCTGGCAAGAGCACCCAGGTGTGGTGGGGGTTGTAGGGGCAGGCTGATTCTGGGAGTGGACAAAGGGAGGAGCTAGGGAATTGGCCTTTCCCTGGGCACGGGGGGTACTGGACTTCGTGGGGTCATGAGGAAGGTGAACAAAGAGAGATGGGATGGGTTAGGCTGGCCCAGGAGGCTGGTGAAAGACCAGGGGACTCCCCAAATATAGAAAGATTAAAGTGGCCATAGTTCCCTGAGCACTTCTGACTGAAGTCCTACAACTTCCTCACTGGTTGTCCTTCCCTACTTCTATCCCAGATCCCTCAGTGGTGTGCAGAGTTTGTGCTGGCCAGAGGGTTCCAGAAAGGACAGGTTACTGTCACGCAGCCCTACCCTCTTGCAGCCCGGAGCCTGGCTCTGCGGGTTGCTGATGAGATGGACCTGACCCTGGGTCATGAAGTTGGATACAGCATCCCCCAGGAGGACTGCACAGGGCCCAACACCCTGCTCAGGTGGGGGCCTCTGCAGGCCTTACCCAAATCTAATTCCCCTCACTCCGTAGAAACAAACCCATTCCTCTGGCATCTCACCATACCCTCCCTCAGCCCAACTCACTCTTTTTTATTTTATTTATTTTGGAGACAGGGTCTCACTCTGTCACCCAGGCTGGAGTGCAGTGGTGCAATCACAACTCACTGCAGCCTCAACCTCCCGGGCTCAAGTGATCCTCCCACCTCAGCCTCCCAAGTAACTGGGATGACAGGCGCATACCACCATGCCTGGCTAATTTTTATATTTTTTGCCATGTTGCCCAGGCTGGTCTCAAACTCCTGGGCTCAAGTGATCCGCCCACCTCGGTCTCCCAAAGTATAAAGCATGAGCCACCGTGCCTGACTCCCACTCACTCTAAATTGTGTATGGTACAATGGCTAAATTAAGCCCTTGAATCCCAGCCAGGGCCTCAGACATTCAGCCTAACTCTCATCAGAAAAATGTCACTTCCCAGTTGGAGTATACCTTGTGAACAAAGTGTTCTCAGTGGGGTTGTGGGGTCACAGTTATGGGTCCACAGGCTCAGGAAGTCACAGCATATTTTTCTGACCTTCAATATCAAAATCTAGGTCCCTTGGGGAGAAGTTCCCCTGAGCTTGTGTGGCTGGTCAGTGTCCACACTGATTCCTCTGCCCACTACCAATGTCAACAGGTTCTGCTGGGACAGGCTGCTTCTGCAGGAGGTGGCCTCAACCCGGGGCACTGGAGTCTGGGGCGTGCTGGTACTAGATGAGGCTCAGGAGCGGTCGGTGGCATCAGATTCACTCCAGGGGCTACTGCAAGATGCCAGGCTGGAAAACCTTCCGGGGGACCTCAGAGTGGTTGTGGTTACTGACCCAGCCCTTGAACCTAAGCTCCAAGCTTTCTGGGGCAATCCTCCTATTGTGCATATACCCAGAGAGGCTGGTGAGAGACCTTCCCCCATCTACCGGGACACCATCCCCCCTGATCGAGTGGAAGCTGCCTGCCAAGCAGTGCTTGAGTTGTGTCGGAAGGAGGCTCCAGGAGATGTGCTAGTGTACCTGCCCAGTGAGGAGGTAAAAAAAAAAAAAAAAAAAAAGCCTGCAAAGGGAGGTACTCATCATCTTCTAGTCCTAGGGAATGGGAATGGGAGCAATGCCTGTTAGGAACAGTAGAGTTGCAGTATTTACTCTCCCCTGGGGTCCCAGAGAAAAACTTGAGGATTTCAGAGTAAAGAGGTTTACCACTCACTTTTTTATTCCCTTTAATGCAGAGATTTGTGATTCAGTGAACCTCTGAAATTATAAAATCTTCAACTTTATGAGTATTTGCATTTTCTCAGAGTGAAGGGCCGTAACTTTCAACAGTCTTTCAAAGGGATCTGTGACCCCAAAAAGGTGAGAACTGCCCTAATGTCCCACCCTTCTCCTCAGGAAATTTCCCTCTGCTGTGAATCCTTGTCCAGGGAGGTAGAGTCCCTGCCTCTCCAAAGGCTTCCACCACGAGTACTGCCCCTTCACCCAGACTGTGGACAAGCCGTTCAGGCTGTATATGAGGACATGGATGCCCGAAAGGTTGTGGTCACTCACTGGCTGGCTGACTTCTCCTTCTCCCTCCCTTCCATCCAACATGTCATCGACTCAGGACTGGAGCTCCGAAGTGTGAGTGAGAGAGAGATGGCGGTGGGGTAGTAAAGACAGAAATGGCCCACTCTGATCTGTCTTGGCCTTGGTTGGGGCACGGGCAACAGGTTTACAATCCTAGGATCCGAGCAGAATTCCAAGTGTTGAGGCCAATCAGCAAGTGTCAGGCAGAGGCAAGACGACTGCGAGCAAGAGGGTTCCCACCAGGTAAGAGCCTTTGCCCTCACTGAAATAAAAAACCCAAGAGTCACCAACATGCAAGCCCTGAGAAATCTACAGTGGTCTTTCCCAGGTCTTTTTCCCCTCAGGATCCTGCCTCTGCCTGTATCCTAAGTCCTTCTTAGAACTAGAAGCTCCACCATTGCCCCAACCCAGGGTGTGTGAGGAGAATCTGAGCTCCCTGGTGTTACTACTAAAAAGGAGACAGATTGCAGAGCCAGGGGAGTGTCACTTCCTGGACCAGCCTGGTGAGTACCTCTCCTGCCCAAGTATTGCCATCTGATCACCCAGTTCTGAAATTTCACATCCTGTAAGCCCTGTTTCCTCACCAGCTCCAGAAGCATTGATGCAAGCCCTGGAAGATTTAGACTATCTGGCAGCCCTGGATGATGATGGGGACCTGTCAGATCTGGGCGTCATACTATCAGAATTCCCTCTGGCCCCTGAGCTGGCCAAAGCCCTGCTGGCCTCATGCGAGTTTGACTGTGTGGACGAGATGCTCACCCTGGCTGCCATGCTCACAGGTATAAATCCTTGCTGTAAATCTGTAGCTCTTGCAGCCACTTCAGCCCTTCCCCTTGGGTTTTGGTGCTCCTGAGGCTAGCCCTTTCCTCTCTGCTCCAGTTGCCACCCCTCACAATGCCTAAAGAACCAGGCTTAGTCACCTATCTCCCTCTTGTCTCTTTAGCCTTTTTTCTCTGCTGGTTCTTGCCCCCAGCATGCTTAAATCTCTCCTAATCTGTTATTGCTAAAACTCACACACTCCTCTTCCTCAACCCTATCCTCCCCTTCAGCTGTGCAGCATGATTTCTATCCTATTCTAACTGGTGTATTGCTCACCTACTGCACTCCAGCTTCAGGTCTACCATGCCAGTGAAACAGCTTTCAACTCACCAGTGACCTCCCAGGTACCTAATCCAGTGGATACTTTTGAGCCCTTATTCATGACCTTCTTTTATACTTGAAATTGCTGACCGCTTCACCTCGAAACTGCCTCCTCCCTAGGCCTCTGTAATGCTGCTCCTCATGGTTTTCATCCTACATCTCTGGCCATCCCCTTTATCTTTTCCTCGAGCTCTTTGTCCTCTTGTTATCCATTGTAAATTGGTCCTCAGGGTTCTATTCTTGCCTCTTTTGTCTTCTATTCCCTGAACTCTCTGAGCAAGTTTATCCACAACCATGGTTTGAAGTTCTACCTTTAGCCTTAACATTTCCAAACCTTGTGCCTTGTATCTCTCACCCAATACCATTCTTCTGAATCTGAGAGACAGAGAGAAAGAGAGAGATGGAGAGAGGGATGGGGAGAGGGGGAGAGAGGGAGAGACAGAGAGAGCATACCCCAACTCCTGATGGACGTTTCTTTTTTTCCTTTTCTTTTTTTTTTTTTTGAGACAAAATCTCACTCTGTCACCCAGGCTGGAGTGCAATGGCATGATCTCGGCTCACTGCAACCTTTGTCTGCCAGGTTCAAGCAATTCTTGTGCCTCAGCCTCCCAAGTAGCTGGGACTA